TAAAAAGCTAGCACTGGCCCTGTGTACAGATTCAGAACAAGAAATCCCTGGTTGACCAAATTGAATTGTTTAGAGTGTTCTTGCTAATGTGTGTGATATTTTACGAAAACTGCAAAAAAAACAAACAAACAAAACAAAACAAAAAAAAACAAACAAACAAAAAACAAAAAAACAAATTGAATTAAGACCCAACAACAACTGTAGTAAACCTAACACATTTATGGAAAATATGAAAAGTAATACATTTCCTGAACCTGGAGCTCAGTGGAGACATAAATCAGGTCTGTTCTAAATTCAGTGATTACCTCTAGGATCAAGTTGATTTAAATTGGTAACAGCCTCTGGACAAGATCTTCAGAACTTAAAAAATACGTATGTATATAATTAGCAGTGCATTACCAGAAAAAAAAGTGATTTATTCACTGTGATGAACATATATAATATTAGTTACCTTTAGTTATAATGCAAGACTAATTATTACATTTTGCTATAAGTAGATACATTAGCTCAGGTTAGCTTAAGAAGTAGGTCTGAAAGTTTCTGTCAAATATCTGCTCAAGAAGCAAACTTTCTTATTAACTATTAGTTCACATGCAATTTAGTCTTTTAGTTTGTTTTTTGGATTAAAAAAGCATCATACACACAGTAAATGTTAGCATGCTAATGCTAATGTTAGGATGCTGGGTTCCAGTTACATAGACTCGAGTTCTAGTTAAGAAATTGTAATTCCAACATGGCATCACCCATAGACGCTGTTTGCACTACATATTACAACTATAATTTTAAGCTTTACATTAATCCCGACAGTTTTCTACTAATGTTGCGATGAGTGGCCATTTTGAAATGCAGTTTCAACTACAACTGGAAGGCAGCAATACCATAGTAATTGCGGTTTACTATGCTAATGCAAACCATTAGCACGAGTTAGCATTAGTTAGTTAGCATGCTAATGTCATTAGTTGGCATGTCATGCCAACTAATTAGTGGATATTTTAAATTTCTCTCCTTCAAGGACAAAGGATTTAAGTCATTTAAATTCATTTTTCAAAAATATTTTTATTTGATATTGATCCAGGTACAAGGAAATAAAAGATGGACTTATTTTACAGGTCATGAGAACTAAACTGCAGGAGTTTATTTTCTTGACTGACTCTCTTTTTCGGAGAAGAACATGCAAGTGAATACAGGAGGAGGTGTACAGAGAGGTGGAAAAAAAAAGAAAGGAGAACCGTACTGTAGAAATGGCATAGGATTTGGAGTGTTACCTCACCCCATGCTGTACAGGAAAGACTTCACCCAACAACTTTCACTTTTTGTCATTTTTAATCCGCTTTTATAGCAAAAAGGAAAGACACAGATAGGCTACAAAGAACCAACAATATTGAGAAAATGAATGGAAAGAGGTAAAGCACTTTGAAAAAGACATTTTCTCTTTTGTCTTGACGAGCAAATTGTGTTTTTACTCCCCATGTCGAAAAGTTACGACTCGAGAAGAGCAGTGCAGTGAACATGCAAGACGAAGAGCGACTTGGATGACAACTGACCGGCGTGTCACCGTGCTGAGAGCACAGTCTCCACATCACCTCTTAACGGCCTCGCTGCTCAGCTCCGACACGAAGGTTCACAAGGAACAAAGATAACAGTTAAAAAGAAAAAAAGAAAACACATTTTATATCTTACAAATCTTTATGCATATTTCACAATATACCTTTATTAGCATTTTAATAAATACAAAACGACACTGTGATTTAAAAGAAAATTGAGTATTAAAGACACAAAAATGCATTTAGACGTTTTTAGACGTTAGAAATATCAATTTCAAATTTGGTATGTTCTTTTACTGACATCTTGTCTTTAAGTTGGATGAACCAGCACATCGGGATCAAAGTCCACAGCAGAAAATTAAAAAGTAATGAAAATAACAAAAAAGGGGGTATAACAGATTCCAACATGGGATGGAAAGTGTTTATTAATAAAAAAGGAATGGAATAATCAAGTGGAGATGTGTATGGATATATACACATATATACACATACATAAACACCACCAGAATGCAAAATAACCTGAGATACTCTCTGCACCTCATTTCCAGAACACTGGCCACTGGGTGTATCCTTAAAAAAATAAAATAAAATAAAATACGACAATGGTGTTACGACAACAGTACAACAGCATTTTGATGGCCTTTAGTGTCCCCTGTTCCCCCACCCCCATTTTTTTTAATCAACATTAGCAGTACAAAAAAAGACAAAAACAAACAGTCATTGAACCACAAAAATCCTGAACATTACAATTGAAAAACATTGTTGTAAGCAGCGTCTTGGGAGTCCATAAAAGGCATACAAAGAAACAAGCTTAGCTTCCAAAAAGGACATTTGTTGGAAAAGATTCATATCTAAAAAAACCTGATGTTGTGAAGTCGAAAGCGGTAAATAATATGAGCGTGTTTTTGTGGCAGTCAGGTGGATAAGAAAGGGTTTTTGCTTCCCACTGTGGCTGTAGATATGAAGGCAGTGAAGGCAGCCACTGGCTAACATACAAGGCCTTTGCTTCGTCAACTCTAACCTAAAAATGTGCAGTGTGTAGTAATCACCATTAAAAAAAACAAAAAATAAAAGTTTCTGACAAGACTATGCTGATTGTACTTGTTTTGGATGCTGGCCACTTTGCCCTTTTGTCATTTCTGACTTTAATAGGGGACTTTAAAGACAAATCAATTTTATCTAATCCATTTACAGTTCACTGAGTTTCCCTCCTGCATTATAAGCCTGGGGAGCCACCAGGCTTTACTTGCCTCCCCACCAGGTTAAGCGTCATTTATTTTAAATATTGTTTTTAAACACCAGTGACAGTGAAGACAGATTAATCTAGGTTTATAGTTGACACAATGAACTAGATGCGTCCCTGCACTTCCATTGGTGCATTGACCTCACTCTCAGTTTTAATACGTGTTGCCAGCATGGGCCAATGTATTAGGGTATACCAAGGTCTCAAAAAAATTATTTCAAAAAATGAAAAGCTTCTGTGGTTTAAAGTAGGTTTGGCAAAGTTTCCAGAGTGATCTAAGTTTTCTCCAGTTTTCTCTATTTTTTTCCCTACACATTGCCTGTAAAGAGATCTGCAACATTTTCCACAAGCTTAAATTGTGTTTTTTTTCTCCCCATTGGCAACCATCCTAAGTGAGTGCCTCTTATCTTAATAAGGTAACATTGTTGTAAAACAACTGTTGGTAAAATAGGAGTAGGATTTAAGCAGGTGAATGGAGGGTAGCTAGCCAAACTGATAACTTGTTGAGTTTAGAGCAAAAATGTGATGAATTCTGTACTATAACATTCACCTTTAAACCCTGAACCTTATTTAACAAAATGCTAAATAATAAGAAGCTAAATATAACACCTTTGTCACCGATTCTGTTCATTACTTCCATGGACAGAATTTCTAGGCGCAGCCGAGGTGTTGAGAGGATCCGTTTTGGTGGCCTTAGGATCGCATCTCTGCTTTTTGCGGATGATGTGGTCCTGTTGGCTTCACCACGTCGTGATCTGCAGCTCTCACTGGAGCGGTTCGCGGCCGAGTGTGAAGCGGCTGGGATGAGGCTCAGTGCCTCCAAATCCGAGGCCATGGTCTTGAGCCAGAAAAGGGTAGAATGCCTTCTCCGGGTCAGGGGGGTCATCTTGCCTCAAGTGGAGGAGTTTAAGTATCTGGGGATCTTGTTCACGAATGAGGGACGAAGGGAGCGGGAGATCGACAAGCGGATTGGGGCAGCGTCTGCTGTGAAGCGGGCGCTGTACCGGTCCGTCGTGGTGAAGAGAGAGCTGAGTCAAAAAGCGAAGCTCTCGATTTACCGGTCGATCTACGTTCCCACCCTCATCTATGGTCATGAGCTTTGGGTCATGACCGAAAGAACGAGGTCCTTGATACAAGCGGCCGAAATGGGTTTCCTCCGCAGGGTGGCTGGGCTCTCCCTTAGAGATAGGGTGAGAAATCGGTCATCCGGGAGGGACTCAGAGTAGAGCCGCTGCTCCTCCATGTCGAGAGGAGCCAGTTGAGGCTCAGCCATCTGGTCAGGATGCCTCCTGGACGCCTCCCTGGTGAGGTGTTCCGGGCACGTCCCACCGGTAGGAGGCCCCGGGGAAGACCCAGGACACGCTGGAGGGACTATGTCTCTCAGCTGGCCTGGGAACGCCTTGGGGTTCCCCCGGAGGAGCTGGAATAAGTGGCTGGAGAAAGGGAAGTCTGGACCTCCCTTCTGAAGCTGCTGCTCCTGCGACCCGACCCCGGATAAGCGGAAGAAAATGGGTGGATGGATGGATGGATATAACATTAAGCTGTAATAATCAGCAGAATGTAGTATTTTAGCAGCAGTAGGAAGACTTGTTGCTTTTAGCACACAATGTAGCTCTCTACATGATGTTATAGAGATTTTATTCTTATGTAAATAGCATAACACTGTGCTGTTTTCAGTTAAGGTTATCGTAAAATGATTCTGGCCCATGTCTAAAATTAACTGGTTTTAACCTGGAATTAAGAACTACGCTAGTTGGAAATTTTAATTCTCAAATAAATCAAACATGGAAATTGAGATTTTATTTTAATTTTTTTTTCTGCTCTTAATTTCTCAAAATTGTTAAGTAACAGGAGAATTCATTGACATGTTACAGGTACGTAGGGTTAAACTGTGTAGAAATCGACAAAGAGGCAAACTGCCCATTTGTTTTCACATCTGAGCCAACTTTCCCACATTAGCCACATTAATAACTCAGCTGTTCCCAGTAAACTAAATGCTTTCTTCATTGATACGATTGGTGATAACAGATTAAACGATTAAAATAAGTGCTAAAACAGCAAATGTAAAACAAAATCAGCTCGAATAAAATGTAAACAACATAATTTAGTTGTTGTTGAAGGAGGTTTAGATGGGTTTGTAACTTAATATGATAAAGAATAAAAACCCTATTTGTGCTATGATGTGATATCAGCATCCAGACAAAGTTCACCACTTGTTTTTTTTGTTTGTTTTTTGTAAGTTTGAGGCTGTACTATGTAGGAGCATGAGATCCACTTTGTAAAATGATTTAGGCACTAAATCATAAATTTAAAAGAAGGAGAACAATAAATTAATACCTAACCGAATCCATGAGTTGCCTACGTTTCAGATCCGTTCCTAGGCCTTGTAGCTCTGCCTCGCACCTTCAGGACTAGCGTCTGCCACTCGGTTCGTCTCTACTGTAGAAATGGATGCTGTCTGTGAGAAAAGCATGACTCTTTAATATCTCTCTGTACACTAGAATATAATCTTCTTCTCTTTACAGTACAGAAACTCCTCTTCACATATTCTTCCGGTTCTTCATGTCAGCAGGAGCTATGTTTTTGTGCTTATCACCAAAAATTGCAGTGCAAAAAAAAACAATAATTAATCATTAATAATAATGATAATATTAATAATAATTAATGGTAGCTATTAACAAACAATGGATTTAAAAAACAATTATTTTATGGCACAAAAGCCACTTAATTCACATATAGTACAAATAACCAGGTAAAACCCAACTGTTATTTTACATGGAAAAAAAAAACAAAAACAAAACAAAAAAAAAACAAATTAAACTCTATTGGGTTTGCATAGCAATGCAACAACATGACAAAGAAAATATTTACAGGAAACAAAATTCCCTTTTTCCGAAGGGTAGATACAACAAAAATCTTTCCCCCCCACCACATAGATGTTTCCTTTTTTTTTTTTTTCTTCCTTTTTTTAAACTTGCCTTTTTCTAACAAAAAGAAAATTACAGTAAGGTAGGTGGTGGAAAATATTTTCTTGAGGACAAAACCATTGTGAGATGTACAGTATGTTTGTGACTTTACATCACATGTACAGTTCTGTGAAACTGCTTCGTCACTGTGGGGCCCTTCGCTGCCGCGCACCTACCCTTCTGAGAACGCACAGGTAAGAGGAGAACGTTTATTGGCCTGGACAGGAGCCTAGGAGGGTCACTCTGTGGAGGAGATGAGCATGGAGGGAAACATGAAGACGCTTCAGAAAAACATCCAAGAAAATGTGGAAACAAATGCCTCAAAAGGCTTGTTACACATATTTGCAGAGCAAATGTATTCATATTTGTTGAATGTTTCCACATTTTGGACTACTTAGCCCTTGTGTTTAGAAATGGGGTCCATACCAACCGACCCCACACAAGTTAAACTTTTATCGTTTGCCTCAGTCCTCGCATGCACAAGGGTTAAAACAGCCTTAAATAATGTTTCAAATGCTAAGTTCATAAGTGCTTTGTAGACATCTTGCTGTAAAACTTTAGGATCGATTAAATTAAGAAATAAAGACTAAACAACATGGCAGAGCTTTATAATATTACTACATAAAGCTAATTTTTAAAGTTTAATTGGTAATACTTTTATAACAAATTTATGTCAGATCATGATTTCTTGGTTAATGACAAGTTGTCATAACAAAGACATTTTGAATAATGTCAACTTTGTATTAAAAGTGTCATAATTTACCGAATGACGCTTTATGACAACAGTCATAACTATTCATGAAGACTTATTGATGTTCATGACAGGTTATGTCATGTTTATGACAGTGTCATGACAGTCTTATTCAACCCCCTTCAAATAAAGTGTTACCAAATGTTGTCCTTACTGTACAGAATTTTATTTTTTAACTCTGTTTTTGTGAGACTACTTGTATTGATTCCCTGTTGCCATGGAAATTTCCCTTTTGTGGGACAATAAAAGATATTTCTATTATATTCCTAAAATGAATGGCTGTACAGGAGTTTTAGAACTATTGCCATATACATTTAACACGTAGTGTCCAAGTCAGTAAAAAGGAAATGCATGGCAGTAAACACTGACTTTATGGTCATAACAAAACATTTAGATTTTTTTTTGTTTTGTTTTCATTTTTGTGTAAAGTTATAAGAGAATGGTGCTAACATGGAAACAAGCCCTTACATAACTCTCCATGTCCATTGGCCCCCAGAAATTCGGCATGCTCCGTGGCGGTCCACTGTTGTGGCTGCCGCGGACCGTCGGTCTTGCGTGGCCCTGTTGATCCTTTGGAGGATGCGGTCCCCGAGGAACTGTGGCCCCCGGGGGAGGGGAAGGATGGCTTGCTATACGGGACACACCCATCCTCTGGAAAACAAAATGCAGACATTTCAGGTGGACAGTTTTACAGAAAAATTACAGAAAAAAAAGTATTGAATGTCTCAATATTTTGTTCTCTGTAAATATATTTCTAATAAAACTAATGACAGAAAGGATGACTGTAACAACCCCCAGCAATCCACATATTTAAATATAATGAAAAAAAATGTGTCCATGGCTTGTTTTACATGTAATGAAGGGGAGTGAAAACATGAACATAAAGTCAGGAGTTTAGGATCCAGTTGGCTGACAGGAGACATTTTGAAGTTTTCTAATGCTTTTTCACTTCACATCAAACTAGTCAGTAATTAATTCCTTGTATGGTTTTACTTTATCACAGACACATTACAGTAGTCTAGAATGCATCTAGAATTGAACTGAATTGTGCTGCCCATGGTAAAGTTAGTCAGATCTGACTTGTTCTTATTTTACACTTTAGTTCATCGTTTTTTAGTCTAGGTGTTGCATGTTTGAGCAATTGTTCCCTCTCTGGCTTTGGATGCTGGTCTTACTTTTTTCTTTATATATATATATATATACATATTTGCACATAACAGGAGTTATGTGTAACCATGGCAACATATTATTTCTTTTACAACTGGGAGCAGATGATTAGCATGTAGAAAGCTCAAATAAAACCTGAACTATGACTCTAAATCCCAGAGATTTGTGGGAGAAGGAGGAAGTTCAAACAATCTTCCATCCATCTTGATCTTGAGATTTAAATTTAAAATGGAGCAAATGAAGTGGATTAGCAGAGCTTGGTATCCTGGTAATGCTACTGTGAAATATCTCTGTCTGGAAATTCAGATGTTGGTCTGTCATGACTGTCAACAGTCTTCAGTCAGAGGCCTTAATAGATTCGTTGCAAAACTGACTGCTACAGTAGATATCTTCCTGCCCAGAGCATCACCATCCACAACAATCACCTTAAGATATTTGGATGATACGAGTTAAAAGATTTAATTTCCCTTTGGGATAAATGAAGCATTTTTTAAACTGAACTGAATTAATTTATAGACAAATGTAACATTTTTGTAAGTGTGGACAAATGAATTAGCAAAATATCAACGCAGGAAAACACTGATGTGGTCGATACTTTCCCTCAAACTGGAAATGTTTGACAGCTACATGACATAGGGCAAAAGAAAAAAAAAAAGCCGTCCATCGGAACGTGACATCTGCAGAGCGGCAGTGCCAGCAAGCAATGCCTGGCCGTGCTACAGGGATGACCCTCGACCTCTCCTTCCAGTCACCAGATTTATCATGGGGTACAACAATAGAGGGTCCACTGGTTGGAACTCCCACCCTCAGCAGTCTCTGTCATCACGTGAAATCTCATCAAACTTCTTCCCACTGTTCTGCTAATGACTGTAATCGAGCCCGCCCTGACCTCCAAGGATTCTCCTGAACATCAGTCAGGACCCTTGCTGACTGTGGCCCCCGTTGTTGTCTTACACCTATCAGTTAAAAAAAAAAATCCCTGGCACCAGCAGGACCGGGCAGCGCAGCATGCACAGACAGCGCTAACGATCACACACACACACACACAGACACACACACACACACACACACAAATGCACAGATGGGGCGCAGAGCGGCGGCCATTATGGTTCATCTATCGGCTGCTACGCCCTGCTACGTCACTTGGAGCGGAGCGGGCCGTCACTGGCAACAGTTTCAGGGGCAACGGGGAGTGGGGGGGGTAAAGAGAGGGGAGGCGGGAGAGAATCCTGGATAATCCTGGAAAGCAGATAAAGTGGCAGACGGCGCAATCTGCTCGCTCAGTCTCGAAGCGGCGTGGAAGCTCGATTTAACACAGGAACTACGAGAACAAACACCCTGTAATTGACGCACAGCTGCGCCCACTGTCTTTGTTCTTTTTTTGATTTCACTGGAACATACCCTTGGTACTCTTTCTAAATTCCAGAATCATATGAGGTAAATAGAAGATGTATTTTTTATTTTTTCTAATATGTGGATATCCAATTGTTAAAATTTCAGTCCACAATAGGGAACTACTTTAGCTCTTAAAAGTCAAATTGTCAATTTTATCTTCAGGTAGCAATATTGCTGACCGATGTGGCTTAAAAAGAAAATTTCGTACTTTTTCCTACCAGATCCGATTTACATTTTATTCTGCTCTCTTTCTTTTTTGTAAAAAGAAATGACAGAAAACATTTTCAAAAGGTATTATTTCAACCATCCCTATCCTGGGCTGTAAGAAGGAGAATAAGGGTGAGGCAAAGAGAATTTTTGTCTAATTACGAAACCTGGTCATAATATCATTAAAAAAAAAGGCACGTTAGCAGAAATTGCAAGAAAACAAGTGTATTATTATTATTATTATTATTATTATTATTATTATTTTTTAAAAGCTTGGCTATTAGTACATTAGCAGTTGTACGTGTGTATTCTTGTAATGATATGATTTTATTTTCATTTTTAAGAAAAAAAACATATCCAAGCCTGGCCCTAGTATTCTATTAAAGAGTTTACCCAAATTCAATGTCCAGTTAAAAAGAAGCTGTAAAACAAGATGGCGGCCATGGACGTGGGCGTAAAAAATGAAATATTCAAAACCAAAAATTTGATTGATAAAATCAGTTTATAGGCCAGCCTTATCTAACAAGAGAATACCTGAACTTGCTTACAGGTATTCTGTTTGACACTGAAGCGCTGCACCTTTAAACATCATAACTTCACAAGTTCACTTTATGTTACTGTTAAAAGTTGCCGTTGAGTTTGGAGATGGTCTTGGTTTCCTCTGTACCTGATTTGTGGCACCTGCGGGTATCGTCAGTCCGGTCCATGGAGCCCAGTCGGTCCTGGGCCTGGCGGTGATGTTCCAGAGAGGTTCGCATCTGTCTGTCAATGGAGCTCTTCATGTCGTCTGGCCCACAGAGCGGCCCTGACATGGGCGTGCGCTCCAGAGACGAAGCCTTCCTGTCCGTGGGTGGTGCCATGCTGTTTACACTGTGGGTCCCCTGAATGCGACCCTGGATCTGACAGGGAGGAGGTTCAGGGGGGGGAGGTAGGTCTTTGTAAAGAAAAACCACATGGTGAATCAGATTAACTGACATGTGTATCAAATTGGGATTTTATGAGACAAACCAAGACAAGCAGTTCATAATTTTTATTTGAAAGAAGGATGTACAAATGCAAAAACTCTATAAGTGACAGAAAACTAAGATTGGACATCATCCTGTCAGCGTTATACTGTGGAGAATATTTTCAGAGTTGATGGAAAGATGTATGGAGCTAAACACTTAAGTAAAATCATGAAAGTACAGATCTAGATACGGTTGGGAATCTGTGAAAAGACTAAAAGACTGGCATTAATGCTCTCTGTCCAAAATAACTGAAACTGAATAATGAATAACTTCACTCAGAAAAATTAGCAAATACTTCAGCATTTAGATGAGAATAGCTGGTGTAGATATACGCCAAAACAATTGGAGCTGTAACGGAAGTGAAAAATGGTTTTAAAACTGTTAATCCGGGGGGCAGGGGGGAATCCATTTGTAGTCACCCCCGGGGGGTGGGGGGGGGGGGGGACTACAAATGGATGCTATACTTTTCAGATTTTTTTTTCCATAAAATATAAAAATTGCTGCTACTCTGTATTGACTTATGAATAAAATTCTAATATAACCAATAGTGGGCACAGTTCTACTAATGTGCTGATAGCTAAAAGTGCATTAGCATTAGTGAATGCAAAAATTCACAAATACAAATTTTTTGAGAGTGTCTTCAGGTTCTCCTTGTGATACATGGTGAGTATCGACATGACTGAATTTAAAGATTTAGCGTTGGCTAAGTAACATGTTAGTATAGCGCTTTAGGATTAGCTTCTGCTACGTAATGTGTTGCTATTGAACTTTAGCATTAGCAAAACTAATGTTTATTGTTAGTGGTGCAGGGCAGCAAAGCTAAATTTTTAGCTAGCAGTGCCTGCTACTGAATATAAAATATTGATGATATTCAAGGGATATGAATATCTTTTTATGGAATATTGTGAACAATGCAAGAGCTGAACAGTAATTTATATGACGAGTAGGATCTTAAATGTTTTAAAATGTTATAAATGTTTTTAGAAAACATTTTACTGAACCAACTGGATTATATTTGCACCGTGTTGGCCTCACCGTCTGCACCAGCGTCTCTCCGGTGAGGTGTTGTGCCTTGACTTCGTGGTTTGCGGGTGGGCCTGGTGGCCCTCTGGTGGCCCAAGCTGTGTGTGCCGACTGTGCTGCCATCTGTTGAAAATGGACTGCTGGGACGGGGCCTGTGGGACAAGCCTTTACCTGCAAACCAAGAAATCAGTCAATCCAAATTTATACTCATAGTGCATTAAAAAAAAAAAAAACAGATTCCATTAACCAAAAGGCCACCTGGTTAATAAAGCCCTGAGGAGCTGCCACCCAGAGAGCAGAGATGGAAGTGATACCATTAAAGACACATGGCATCAACTCAGTTTGGGAAAACTGTTTGAAGAAAACAGCTTTCATTCATTCACAAGTGAAGGATTTAGAGCGAGAGAACAAAAAGTGTAAAAGCTTGCATATTTAACTGGTCTCCCGTGTTTTACTTATACAACCCATGGAAGAAAAAAGGAGAATCAAGAAGAGGGCCATGCACAGTCTTTGTGCAGATTCCAAAAAAAGCAGAAAGGCCAAGAAAACATGAAGGCAGAAACCATCAGCCAGCTGATGACAGAGGGAATTATTAGAGGAGAGCAACTCCACTGCAGCAGTGGGTATCCAGTTTCCACAAACCAACCTCTCTTGCTGAGGCTGGTTCCCTCAAGGCGGTAGCCTGCCTTGTCTGCAGCAGCCACAAGGGCCTGGGCAAAGCTGCAGTGGGTAAAGATGGAGCCATCGGAAGAACTGCCCAGACTGGATCTATGGCTGGAAAAATTACGCTCATCCTCCGAGGCCGAGCCCCACCCATTCACCATGGACCCTGTGGAACACCACAGCTTTCAGTGAGAGTGTTCTGGGAGTTCATCATACAATAAGGCAGTCTTGTCCTGGATCTTAAGACTGTTTGAATTCTTGGTTCTTGTGGATCATAGTTTTGGTATTCTGGTTCCTGTCTCTTTTTTTATCTTGAGATTTTCTGATTTCTTCAATTATGCTCCAATTAGTAATTGTGATTTTTTTTATTCCCTCTCCATCTAAATCAATCAACCAGATACTTGTTCTATTAAGCACCCCTGCTCAATATTTATATTACCCAGCTTCATTCATTCTTTGTCAGTTCCTTCTGTTCTAATTTCTAGATTTAGGACATTGCTAAGTGAATTTCAGTTTTTGTCATTTAAGCCTTTCATTGTACATAAAGTCTGTCTTCTGCTCTTCTTCATCTGGTTCACTGTTCCAGATACCGACAGGAAAAAGTGAGCAGATTGATTCAAAACATTAATAACATCAATATCATGTCGGTATCAGTATCAGAACAAGACTAAGATAAGATCATAAGATCGATTCTTTAGTTTCAGATTCCCTCTTGACATTTTAGCTTATTTTTGTATCTTAGTGTCTCAACTGTACCTTAAACAAGATTTTATTACAATTTGCTCTCAAATGGAAATTATTTATGATTTGTTTATTTCAGAAAATTGAACTCAAATAATGTTAATATTTTATAAAAGTATTTTGTAAATATCTATAAACTTTGTCCAAATTCTGTCCCTCTGTTCGAACAATATGTTTAAAAGAAAGAAAACAAGTAAACATGTAAACAATAACAAGTTTGATGACACATTAAACTTAAATAAAAAGTATCTCTATCAGTATCGATGTGGGCGATACAGTCTCTGTATTTAATTGTTACTGAATCAATACAGTATCACATATTTTGGTGATACTAACAGTAAAGGTGTCAGTATCACACCTCTACCGACAGGCACTGGGCGGTTTTTGGTTTCATAATATTCCAATATTTTAAAAAGTTAAATTAAAAAAAACATCATACAATTTCAGAAAGGCAATATTTTAGATTAAAAATATTAAAAGACAATATAAACTTTATTCCCAATAGGTTATGGAGTCAGTTTTGCATACAATTTGGCACCTGTCATCATTTTATAAAGTATTTTTAAATGTTTCTGTGAAAACTGTGGATGTTATGTTCTGTGTTTTCTGTGTAGTTATTTTTGAGGTTTTCTGTTTAGTCCTGTTCCTGTCCGGTCTTCCCTGTTGATTGCTTCCCAGGTGTGTCTCATTCCCTGATTACCCTCCCTGCATATTTAAGTCCATCTGTTGTCTTTGTCTCTTGTTGAGTCCTTGTCTAATGTTGTACAGAGTGTTGTATGTCATTTGTCAGTAAGCCGTCACAGTCGAACTGGGAAGTTCTGTGTCAGCATTAGCTCGTCGTGTCAGTCTTTGTTGTATTCAGTTGCTACCGGTGCTGAGCCTCTGTGTTTCCGCTCTGCCGTGCTGCCTGAGACCTGGACTGTTTTGAGCTATTCTCTTCATTAAATTAATCATCTTCATCTCAAGCTGGGTCCCTGCGTTCATTCTCACCACCACCAACCACACCCCATGACAGTGGAACCTTTATTTTTTACTGTAGGTTCCCATTCTGTCACATTCATATGTCTGGTGTGTGCTCAGCTGCTATAACTTTTACAGATATAACATCTGACAGGCTGAACACCTGTGCTGTAATTCTATGTACATAGAGACACATAATGCTACTGAGTGATCTTAGAAAAATAATATTTAAATCACTACACTTAAATCACTTTGTTTCTGCCGCAGGCTATTTCTGTTCTTGTAAGAGAAAAAATGTTGTGAAGTCATTTTGTTCTGGCCTGCCCTCTTTCAACTATTACAAACGCATACCTACAAAACACACACAACCACACGCACACGCGCACACACAAAGGAATGCACACAGTGAAGCAGCAGGACTGTCATCAACTGATTGTGAACTTCTTTTCATAAAGAACAATACGAGCACCTGTGTGGAGCTTCACAAGCACCCCAGGTGATGTCTCACTGAACGCTGTATAGAAAGAAACACCTGGTGGTAAGAGCAGAGTTTCATCCTGCTGCTTAAAAATGCAGAGCCACCCATGGTTAAGCAGCGGGAATATTTTAAGAATCAGCATATAAAAATTCTTTTTTTTAATTCCTGAATGTACTTTAAAGGGTAAATATATTTTGCAGCTACAAAAACTAAAAATATTAAAACTATGAAATTTTGTTTTGCATCAATTCAGTTTTCAGATAAGACAATGAATTTTAAAAGGCACTTTAAAAAAAAAAATAAATAAAATGAGTATTTGGAGTTAGATACTTTAAAATAGGAAGCATTTTCATGTATAGATACTGACATGAAGTTTGTAGCTTCATGTCTTTATCGCTAGCGCTGCTTTTGTTTTGCTGACAAAACACCTTTTGTAAAGGGAATGTGTCAAATGGATAAACAGAGAACATAAACACTTTTACTACAAAAATTGTCTGAACAGAAAATGTTGGTGGGCTCTAGTGTGATGCAAGATGCATCACACTAGAGCATCACACTATTATTGTCTTTATTGTCTTTGTCTTCATAAACAAGCCTTCGGTCACTAGGTGGCAGCAGTGTTCAAATGAATCAACAGGCTGCCTGTTCAAACCAGTAGAAGAAGTAGCTTGTACAGGCACACTGGTGTACAGAGCTAATGGTGGAGGATACAAGTGCGGGAAAAAATGGAAGCATAGGCTTAGTAACACAAGTATGACGGAGTATTAGAGCCAGACCAAGAGAAATTTTAACTGTGAAACTTTTTGTGTTGTCTTGGCCAGGAATCCCTTGAAGAAGAGGTTTTTAATTTCAATTGGCTTTCATCCTGGTAAAATGAAGGTTAAATAAAACAAAACCAACCCAAAGCTAAGGGATGAAGACACAACACAGTTCACACCACAACACAGTTCACACCACAGCTACAGTCAACAGTTGAAGCAGGGAGTCTGTAGCCAGACCATTAAGGCGTCTATGGAGGCTGTGGGCAACACAACCTGATTAGCATTAATCCAGTACAAAACTTTCGATGGTTTAAAGCAGATCCCATGATATCAATAACCGCTCGGTTCAAATAATCCCCTTGTGGTTCAGGCATCATAATTAACTCCACAAAAAACTAAACAAACATGGATGTAATCAGTACTTGGCAAAAAGTTTTACATCTAGTCAAACCGGGTCAAAAAGAAACACAGGGAAGATGCATATACACCGTCCAACTCATGACCGCTGGATTATACGCACCCTACTGTATTTCTTTGTGCCTTGATTTTTTTTTCCCCCATACATATAAAAAGCTGGGCCAGCAACTTTAAATATAAAAGTATCTGTCTGCCAATAAAAATATGGCACTTTGGCGAGCAGAAACATGGAGAACAGTCGGCTAATGTGACAGCTTTCAGTGGAAATGGTTTGGCAGACTTTGCCTGAGTGGCACGAACCCAAAGAGCTCAGCTCACACACTCCCATCTCTTTCCTCACACACCGCAACGCCACGGAGCAGGCTGGTTTAACAGAGAACCGGGATGGTTCGAGGGTAAAGGTGGCCGAGGCAGCAAATGGGATGATTGTTGGACCAATTAAAAGGTCAGTCTGCTGCCACCTCACAAGAGTGGCAGCAGATGAACGCAGAAGCGAACGCGACTCGCACAGCAATCCAATGCCTCTTGCTCCCCTGGATTGTACTATCCTTTGAAATAACATGTAACACTTCTGAAATTGGGCAGAAAATTATGACTGTGGTTTATGTATCCAGACACGCTGGGGAAATCCCCCCTCAAAGTTTTCCAACTTCCCCCTCCGTCTGCAGGCCTCCTTTGTTTAAAAAGAGACGGCTGCTACTTTGCTAGATGTGACTTCGGGGAATTGCACTTTCGGCAGCAAAAGTTGCAACAGCTTTCCACTTTGATTGCAGGAAAATTCACTCAGAATTATTGGAAGACTTCTGCACAGGCTCGCAAAAGGTTGTGCCTCTACTAACATGACCCATTCCTCTTTTTTTTGTGCAGCCGTGACTGAAATCGGAGGGAGTAACAGCTTCGAGTACTCTGTCTATCCTCTCTCTATTTTCTTTGAATTTCTTTCTTAAGAGTTTTTTTCTCTAAGAAAGAAAGACAGAAATTCCACTGGGCCCAATCCTCCCACAAAGAATAGAGAGGATAATGAAGTATTGGCAGTGCCAGCCAAAGGACTGAGGCTTCCAAGTCCTCCAGCTCAGCTAAGGGAGCACTGCCTCAGCAAATCACATCACAGAGCAACTTTTGAGCCACACTTACATCCACTCTCTACAGAAGAAAACCTCTTCTAGTCTCTGAAACATCAGGCCAATCAAACTGTGATCATTCCAGTTTAATTAGATCGGAGTTCCATTACGCTTACACTTTACTCTTTGATGTAGATAATCTACACGGCTCTGTCAAATTGCCACTATGTCACAATGGACCGAATTGAGACCAAGGTAAGTGATTTTAGAAGGTTATACCTTGTGATAGAATATATATATATATATATATATATATATATATATATATATATATATATATATATATTAGCTCAGCTGTGCTAGTAGGGTTTTCCTGACTTAGCATTCTTTATCTAAAGGAGGCAAATAGTCATTTGAAGAGAGGCAATTTAAAGTATCAAAATCTCCCTTGCCAAATGTATCAGTCAAGAGAAGGGTACCAAAAAAAGCTGAAGGAGGATACAATTTCTCTGCATCTCATTCATGCATACATTAAAGTCAATATAACACTGGCTTCACCTGAAGAAAAGTGAGATTTTGGATCTGCTCAGTTCATAAAGAAACTGACTGTTTGGATATTTATATCATGTTTTATAACATAATACTATTTCCTCTTCAAACACAAACTGCTCTTATAGTGGTGGTTTGACTCTTTTTATGCACGTTTGAGGATGTTTATGCATGTTTCCTTGAATCTCCCACGGCAACC